CTTGTTTTGTTCATGTTCGAACTGTCATTAGTTCAGTGTTTCTCTCTATTGATCTTCCTCTGTTCTGCCACTTGTTCACTTTGTTCTTTAAATCATTTGAGGTGTTTCTGGTTCAGTTCTTAGTTTTAGGTATATTAATACTCTGTGTGTTCACTCTGTTACTCAGACAATAACTGTATTCTGTTTTGCTCATGATCATCTGTTTCCAGTGGGTTTATTGATTTTCTAGTGTTGTTATCTTAAGTTTTACAATAAAGTTCAAATTTTCATTTGTGTCTTGCCTCTGTCTACATCTTGGGTTCAATTTACAATTAAAACAATCCAAACCTGACACAGATGGCTCTTGGCTAGTCGCACGCCTGTAAATTCAACAGAGTCACAACCATGTGTGTGTTGGTTAAGGTAGTGCAGGGGCGGTTCTAGAGGTGGGGCCACAGGGGCATTGCCCCCAGCTGAAGACTGGCCCTCTGAAGTGCCCCTGTACTTTCACTCATCTGTCCTTCACCTGGGAGCGATGATGGTGATACAGTTCCATGTCCAAATACTAGAGGCACTAATGAGTCAAATAGGAAAGTCCAGCATGAACCAAGCTTAGAGAAGTCTTCTTTTCTCAAGAAAATCTGAACAATCCTGCAAAAAGTCTTTTAACTGACAAAAGATGGCTGGATTTTCTCACATGCCGTGTGATTGAAAGTATTTTATTTATGTACAATAAAAATGCATGTGAAATAAGGGTAAGGGTAATTTACTGTGCAAGCTTTTTTAAAACCACATACAAGTGTTTGAACATGTGTGTGACTGGTTAAATGTCTACACCTTACCAAAACCAGGAATTTGTGTCAAGGATGTTGAACAAATATTTGGCCCCTCTATGAATATTGTGGCCCCTTGATGGCCCCGCACTCTGAAAAATCTTAGATCCGCCAATGAGGTAGTGAAGGAAATTTTGTAACYAACTGACTGAATGTTAGATTCAATAGTGTATATTTTATACTTTCTGATCATTGCAGAAATAAGKTTTAAAACAGAATGAGAGTTGGTGTGTCATATTAYGTGTTTTTTCCGTCTAAATAAACAAATGTTGGTTACACTAACATCTGACATGAAAGTTACCACCTTCAGGGGTGTGACCAGGAAGGGGAACATGTTAAAAGATTGAATCATCATAATATGAGCAGAGGTTTTTTTGTTAGGTCTTCTGTGCAGTCTGTTTTAGAGCAGTGTGGGCTCTGGTTTTATATTCAGATAAGATGAAGGTCATTTTACTCTGAGGCCTACTGACTGTGTTGCTGGAGCTGACTGAGACACTGGACTGAAGTTTTTAGAAGAGATTCAACTGGTTTTCTGCTACTTTATTCAGACTTCCATTTATTAATCAGAAATTCCCTTCAGTAGATAGCTGTGTCGGCCATCTTGGTCCCAAATGTTAATCAGCTTTGTTTGGTTAGGGTTGGATTAAAGTCTAATCAAGATCTGCCCAGCAGTCCGTTAGCCTATAAAGTGCATGTGTAAAACTGGCACCACACCCCCAAGTTTTACATTGTGATAGTGAAATGTCCTCAAGATTTAATGGGCCTCATGCAAGAACCGTTCGTACGCACAGATTTGTTCTTAAGTTGTGCATACGAGTGATTTAGGAGAATTTGTGGCATTCACCAATATTTTTGTATTCTAAGATTTTCTTCAGATACGAACAAAATTCACGAGTGGTCCAGACCTGTCGTATATTTTACCAGCAGTCAGTCTGCTGTTATCCAGACGGATTTTTCTCACTAATAACTTTATATTTCATTAATTTGAAGAAATTTCGAGTTGAAAATAAATCACACTCCATAATTATGTTGAAAATTGGCTATTCTGTTTGAAATGGAATTAGATTTTAACGACATAAATTGATTAGATCAGAGGAGCCCAAAGT